CTGCTGAATGCTGGCTGAGGAAGGGCTGCTCTGTGTGCACAGGCAGCAGATCCTGCAAGTCTCCCCACGCTGAAGGGACAAACCTGGGGACACACCTTTGCCCCACAGCCAGGATTAGCCTTCGGTTTCTCTTTCTGGACTTTGTAGCACAGGGGGAAGACTGCAGGAATCAATGACCACTGGTGACCTCAACATGTCAGCACTCTTGACCTTTGGGCTTTTACGTTCCCCAAAAAGTGAGGGAATGCCTGCATTTATAAGGCTTGCACAAAACCCCCACCCACCCCAAAGGCTGGGGGGAGCTGTCGAGTATATCAGGGTGGCTGTTACCCCCAGGGAGCCACGGGTAGAATGGCCTCCATGGCAGGTGCAGGGAAGTGATGCAATTCCTTTGGGTTTTTTTCAGTTTTCTGCTTTTGCAACAACTATTTCCTTTACTGTGAGCTCCTGTTCAAAAGAGCACAGCTACCCAGGCATGACCACATGAGCAGTAAAAGACTCCAGAACAGCTGATCCAAGGAAGGCAGCTGGTGTCCCAAGGACTTCAAAAGCTGCACAAGAGCACATTCAATGTCTCCAGCACAGGGGCACATGATGCCTCTCCAGGACACATTGCCAAACTGGCTGTTTTAGGAATAAAGAGGGGGACTGGTCTTGTTAAGCAAAGCTGAAAAAACCCCAAGTCTCTTTGGGGGAAGACATTTAGTTGATTTTTTGATACCTGGAGTGGTACTGTCAGGATTTTTTCTTTCCTTGGCACCTTGCTGGAAGGGTAAGGACATCCCGTGAGGGGCCAGGAGGAACCCAAGGCTTGCCCAAGAGCATGGAGGGCTGAGGACTGGCCAGCCCCTGCTCTCCCTAGAGCTGGTGGGATTTCACAAGGTGCCTGCCCTGTCGGTCAGGATGCCAATGGTTATCTCTTCCTCCAGGCAAGCCACCCAGGCTTGCTGCTTGTCAGCCTGTGACTCAGGACAGGTATGATCAGCAGCCCCAGCACTGCAGGCAGCTACTTTATTGATAAAGATCGAGAAATTGCCCAGCTGGAGTGACTTTGGATAGGAACCCTGGATCCTTCTGCTGATTCAGCTATGCCTGGATTTATCAAGCCCAGGTACCATGGGTACCTGGCAAGGCACAGCTTAAGACACTCAACTTTGCATTTGTTGGAGCAGCTAAATTACCTTTACACTGCCTACTGCACACTCTTAGGCCTGAATTACCAGTCTCCATCTCCTGTCCCCATCTTCTTCCAAGTATAATGGACAAACATGGCTTTTTGGAAACCATTGCCTGCATGTGGACTTGAAAAGATTCCCAGCAGATCTGCTCTTGCTGTAGCTGAGCTATACTACCTGGGCAAGTCCTGCTGAGCTTGTGTGGTTCTGAGCTGCCTCCATCACCTGAACCCCTTCATCTCTTTCTTCACGGACCCCTGTTAAGAAGTAATTTCTCACCCCAGCAACCAGCCAAGCTATAGGAAGCATTCCTCATGCAGTCTCTCCCTGCTTGCCTTGCCTTTTCAGAAGGTCTGAGTGATTTGGGAAAAATCTTAAGAACAGTCACAACAGTAAACATCATCTTGTGCTTTGCATCCCCTCCAAAAGCAGGACAAACAACCCTGGGAGGTGGTGAAGTTTGGTCCACAAGCTCCACAATGTGGACAAGCCCAAAGCATTATAGCTCTGAAGGTTGTTACTGTCAGCCCTGGAGTGCAGTACTCTTCTTCCAGAGAGGCCAGTATAATACTTCAGGACTTGGTGTCAGGATCCTAAAAGCAGCCAAAACCTCTCAAATCAGCTTAAGATGTGGAACCACACCTAGCCAAGGCCCTAAGTGCCACCTCAGACCTCTTATCACTCAGATTCCAGAACTAAGGCACTTTGAACCCAAGTCCCTGATCTGAGGGCTTTCACACTGTGGGATGAACACTCCTACCTTATAGGTCTGACATCCTTCCCCTTTTGCAGCCTCTCCCATTCCATTTTCTAACCAAAAAAGGAAATCCCAGGCAGAAGTCTACCACAGCGTCACCTGGGCTGGATCTCCCTTTGAAGATGCCTGCAAGTCTGGAGACACTTGCTATCAGCTGGATCTTGACTAGGAGTTCCCTTTGTTTGTCAGGCAGCACCACTCCCACTGTGTCACACTGGTTTCCTTAATCTCCACTGGACTTTGGACAAAGACCAGTGCTGTGGACACCTGGGCAAGGAGGAGCTGTTTATGAGGACTACTTTAACTTGGGCAAGCTCCAAGTGAAAGACAGGCTAAAAGCCCCAGCAGAAGCCAGGCTGGTTTGCCCTGCAGAAAGCTTCACTCTAGTGGATCCCTTTGCAACAGAAAACCTTGCGCTCCCAACCCTGTGACCCGTGTGGGTGCCAAGTTAGAGCAAGCAGTCAATGCCTGCTTTTAATTAAAGGTTTTAACCATGCAGCATGGCCAGAGAGGGCACATGCTGAGTTAGGTAATGGACCATTATTTCCCTGGCCCTGCAGACACAGCAGCGCAGCGCTGGCACCGCTCTGCCGAGGAGCTGTGGGGACAGTGCAGCTTTCTGTCCCTGCACAGCTGGGAACAGCTCCCAGAGGAAGGGAACAGCCTGGGCTCTATGGGGCTGGCCAGAGAACCCTCCCTCAGTTCGCACAGGGTAACCCACACATGCTGGGTTTCTGCTGCTCAGACTGCAAACAGGGAGATGTTTCCCAGGAAGCTCTCCAACCCATGGAAACTCAGGTCCGAAGCCTAGAGGGCAGAAAGCAGGTGCTGTTCAGGAGCTAGAGCCTGCAGCAGGCAGGCAGTCACCCAGCTGTGAGGGGGTGCAGGGCTAAGGGGGGGGCAGTACACTGCAGAGATGAACCTGCTTTCCCCCCCACTCTCTCCACCTCCACCAGCTCTTCCCTGGAGCCTGTTTCCCCCGTTCTTGCTCCCCGAGACCAGCACAGGGCAGTAGCTGCAGAAGGCACTCCTGAGGCTCCACAAGTGCCCGGATTCCAGCAGGAGGGCTAATCCAGAGGCTGGAGAGGAATCAGTCACTGACCCAGGGGAGGGAAAGCCCATTTATTTAGGCTGTTCAAATTTGGCACGCACAGAACATATCACAGTAACGCACTGGAGGCTAAGTGTTTGGTTTTGGTTTTTTTTTTTTCTTTTTCTCTACAGACATACAGGAAAACTCTATGCAACTCCCATGTACACATTACACAAAGGAAACAGCTTTAATCAACCACTGGTGAAACATGGAAGCTTTTAAGATCTCTGTAGCTGGCACAGGAATGTTCTCTACCCCCCATACAAAAGGCATTTCAGGTCAAACTTTCTAGTAGGTGATATTTCCATGCATTTCTACAGAATTAAAGAAGCTAACAGACAAAAAGCCCAGATCAAGCCATATTAGTCAGGCTGATTGGTTCTACTAAGTTAAATCAATAGTAATTATGGACAAATGGACCAAGTGACCAAAGACTGGGGCTAAGAATACCACTTTTAAAGATGTGGTTCCTTCTCACTGTACTACCCATAACTGGAGAGCTCCGATATGAGAGTCTGCTTTTATAAAAGCCTCAGAAGCATCTGATCTGCTAGTAAGTGTGTATTAGAGAAAGTAACGTAGTTCTAAAGTAAACTATGTCAACAGAAAAAGCAATTTTTATAGGATCACTCAGGCTGGAAGAAATCTCAAGACACTTCATAACAAAAAAAATGAACCTATAGAACAAGTGAACCTTTAAATATTATTACTGCACCGTGAGTTTAAAAGAGAGTGGATTAGGACTATTTATCCAGAAAAGTGTGTCTTTTTTATCTCTAGCTTCAGAACTAGCCTTTATTAGTACTGCTCTGCAACTGTAAGCACTAAGAATTTAACCCAGTTTTGGTGCTAACAGCT